AATGATATTTATATTGCGCAGATAAATGTCTGAAGTTTTTGATTCTATAATTACAAGTCTAAAATTAGTTACGAAGATTGATATTACGAAGTACTCATTCTATTTGTAATAAGATATAAATATTTCTGAGCTAAGAAGTTTGTGAAACCGTCGATGGAATATTTGAAAATGTAGACCATAATTTATGAAAAAAAAGTGTAAAACTTCTAGTAATTGCATTGACAAATTGAAGAACCAAAGAAAAAATACACTGTATAAGTGCCGTGGCTAAACCTGAACTGCTTTATCCAAAATATTTATTGTTTTTCACAGTATAGAATGGTTTAACTAGTTTCTCATGGTCAACAGGTATAAAGTTTGATAAAATAACTCATTTCCCAGTGATTGACTGACATATTTTCTTGCTCAAAGTTTTATTGGTGAAAATTAACAATATGCAGATATAAGAAACTTCACAGGTATAGATGTCAACTTGTTTTATTTAAAATAACATCCTAACATTAACAAAAGCAACGTATTCTTGCTCGCCTTTAGGTAACAATATGCCATTATGAGCTTATCTTTATAGACAAAAAGCGGACAGACCAATATTCCGAAAATTTTTGCCACTGGTAGTTTCTTTATTCTCATTGTTATTTAACTTTTGTATAATTATTATTATGAAAATTTTGACAATTTTTCAAAATATTATAAAGCTTTAATTACGGGTAAATTCTAGTGTTTATGTAGTATAACAACCTGAGTGAATATTAGGCCTACATGTGTAATTGCTTTTACGTTAAATATTAGGGCTGATACGATATGTATCTAGATACAGAAGTTTTACCAACGGTTTGTTACAAAGTTTGACAGTCTTGACAATAAAATGTAATTAGAAACAGATGTATCATGTTATGAGCTTTTAGTTAGTGTAAGCCAAATGTAGTTTCCTGCTGCAATCGGCAAAAATTCTAGAAAGAAAAAAAAAAACGGATAATTTTGATTTTATTTTGTATTTTTTGTAGCGGTTATGAGGGTGGTCAAACTGATCGACTTCACATAGAATTAGGGTAGTGAATACAACAGATAAAAGATTTATCGGAAAAAAGGTTGGAAATTTATTTCGGAAGTTTTAGAGATTGCCTCCACAACATACTTCAAGAAGCTAGAGAACGAAATGGATCTTCATGCTAGTCCGTATGAATTCATACCAGTCAAGTTGCCAGACACAGTGCATATGGACTTCTGTGCAACTAATGTTGAAACCTGTATTGGGAAACTATCATCCCCATGTAATAAGATGGACTATGTAAAATGCAGAGAGGAGTGGTATGTTTTGAACAGTCTTATGATGGAGACTTTTGAAGTGGAAACTGTGCTGCAGGGCTATCGTCAGGATGCACGTTTATAAAATAATGCATGTACTGTACGACATAACGAGACTTGTACCACCATAAAGAAATGGTATTCCCCTTCAAACTTCCCAAACATTTATCAGTTTCAAGATCCCCATAAGTAAGAGAGTTGCTTAACAATGAAAATTGAGGGGGATTCACAAACACGAATTTAACATATAACAGTAATTCACACGTTGTGGAAAATTTGACAACTTACTATTTACATAAATCCCAGCAATGCCAGAGATACCAAAAGTAATATTTATTCTATTCAGGAAATGTTTTTATAATGACTTGAAAAGTAGGGAAGATGAAGGTTTTTCTTAATTTCTCTTGAACGTGATTGCCCCTCTCCCCCATCTTATCCGTTTTCTTTTTATTACCTTTTGGTCAAACTTTTAAGACCCTATACAGTGTGGTATCTTGGTTTTTGAAAGGAAAATAAAAAATTGCTATTTGATAACATTTGGTTTTCTTTTTTTTTCACATTCCAATATGATCCTAGATCTTGATATGTGAAAGACAAAAAAAAACTGTGTTCGTAATTAACGTATGCAAAAAATCTGTTCTGTTCAGAATATATTCTGCTTGAATAAAATAAATTGTATTTCTGTATTTTAAAATTTTATACATTCTTCAAAAAAAAAGAATGCTATATTTTCACAGGAAAACCACGTTATCACTCAGTATTTTCAACTTATGTTCCCGATAAAAAAAGAAACGGTTACCTCCCTCAGTTTTTTGTAACTTGTTTCGAGCCAAGTTGTCTACCAGATAATTTGTATTTCAGTTAGGATTACACATACAGACATATATTTTTGGTATAAAAATTATATTTTCTAGTAAACATTTCAAATACATAAATATTTCTTTTAAATACCTGCTTACACAAGTAAAAACTCCAAAGCGTTTAAAAAAAAAGTTATTTTAACAATTTCATTGCAGAGAATATATCAATTCCAAACTGTCTCTCAGTCATGGTTTACAAAAAGAAAAATCTTATTATTACTTATATTAAATGTAAAAATTGCACAGAATTACACTGGTAAAGATTTATCTCTATTCAAATTATTTGAGTGTAAGAAAAATCAATTTTTTGGAATATTTCATCAATATTTTTGTTTGATGACTTAAAATTATTGATTTATAACTTAAAAAACAAAACCTCAAGAATAAAATTAAATTGAAGTTATTTGACTGTCGAAGAAAAGAACAACAGAGCACTAAGCAAGTTTTCATACATTCCTTATTTAGATTTAATTATTTAAATTTATAACTGCTTGATATTTAATATAACAGGAAATTTTAATTTAAGTAATAACAAAAATAAATTTCAACTAAACAAATTTCGTAAAACATAGGAAGGGTTTACTAAATAATAGAATTATATAATTTCAGGGTAACATAAAATATACTGCACAACAGTTTTAAATAAATTTTTTCCTTAAAAAATAAATTTTGAAAAGAAAGATCAAATTATCATAAAAATGTCTGAAGTTAAGATAAAGCCCTTAAACATTGAAAACTACCAAAATAAAACACTTTAAAAGTACAAACTAATTTAACTTTATTATATTCAGAAGTATACATTTTACATTTAAAGGGACTGATAGAACTGAAATTCTTCATATTTTGATTTATTTGTAAACCTTTAAAATAAATATGTTAAGTGTGAATGAATTATTAATCCTCCAAATAAGGATAAATCTTGACAAAAAAATACACATTTTTTTCTTAAGTACAAAATAAAATTTAGGTAATAATTCTAAGCATTAACAAAATATTATAACATTTAGTTTTCATTTTTAACCCAAAGACATTAGCACCCATAAAATGTGAATCTCATGTTTTAAACAAGTAATTAAAACACGTTTATTGCTGCACGTTTGGTAACAGACAATATTACCTCGACACCAGTTAACTGACTTATAGGCACGTAGATACACAGAAAGCAAGAAAAAAAATCTTGGCAAAGGCAGCGTTTACAATCCTCAATTTGATTGGCAGAGTTACAGACAGTTACATATAATAAATACTGCTTAGTTTTTCAGATTACTTGTTTGTTTTGATACTCGAATAATAATATAATAAAAATAAATAATGCAACAACTGAAAATTAAAAAAAATTATTTTTTTCAAACTTTTGATTTTACATATTTTTTTTTCCCTTTATATAGAACCATTTCGAAAATTCTTACTATAGCATGCTTACAATTCTTATTTCTTGCAGAAACGAGACTAACAAAAATCGGGTCACATATTTTCCTAAGAATGAGTTAACCTTTATTTAATCGGATTTTTAAAACCACATTAGATTCCTTGATTTCAGTAGTAACATTGCTTCTTTAAAACCAGGTTATTATTGTATCAGCTTAGATCCCACCGTAACAAAACTTTTATTTTTTTAAAGATAGAGTGACAGTCAAATATAAATAGATCTCCATCATTTCAGTTTAGTTTCAACCTCTCATAATTGATAAAAATTACCAGGATTTTTTTAAAAGAAATTTTGGAAACTAAAGATAACAGAAATTAAAATCTAATGTTAATAGAGACGAGCTATAAAGGTGATGGAAAGATAGAATGGAGGAATACATTTTTGTCAGCAAATACTACATCTCAAAACGCACACACAAAAGTTCTGCCCATTTCAATCTCTCAGCCACAACATTTCCTTCAAAGACATGAATTATTTTGATTTTAGACTCCTTTTTTATATTTACAAAAAAAAAAGAAGATTTAACTGAATACCGAACTATAAAATTTATAGAGAGGTTAATTTAGAACAGTCAGCATTTTTATTTTGAAGCATATTATAAGTTACAATGATATATGTCACAAGGTATAGAAATAACAGATGCACAAAATAGAAAAAAAAAATGTACCAAATCTTTCCCATCAGATGAACACCTTAATACTTCCTTTATAAACAAAATCATTCCCGGTGTAAAGTTCTGTCCTCTAAAAGATTATGGCATTGTACAAATGAGTGATTAAGAAGAAATACTCCAACCTGCAATGGTTTATTAAAAAAAGTCGTTCTGTCCATGGACAACTTCAATATTTTTCAAAGACTTAAACTGTATGTAGTTTCAAAGTAATTTCAGACAATCAATACAAATAAAAAAAATCAGAATACAACTTCAAGTGTACATTACTTGTATATCACACTTTCAAGATCCCTTTATTAGATATATTATATAACTAATTACGTATTTTCAGAGAGTACTTGAAAGTTTGTCATACAAATAAAGCACAATATGTAGGTGATGTATTAGTATGGAAGTATTCTTTCTTACAGGGAAGCTTCAACCATTTTCACAATGACTATTATCTTTAGTGGTCAGTAGAATTTTTATTAGAATGTCACATAAAAACAGCTCAAAGCATTCGATAAAATCTACCAGAAGAAACATTCATAATATGCAGTAAGTTCCATCAACCGTTTACCAATTTACCCAAAGATCAATTAAACAACTATGCACAAATTAAAACCTTACCTTTCTCTTTAATAAGCCTCTTGAACATAAATGAAAGTTAGCAAACAATGTTTTCCAAACACACACACAAAAAAAAAATCGATAAAGTTTCAAAACCAAAATACGACCTATAGTTTATTGTTACTTTTTTTGTTTTTTTTGGTGGTTGTGAGCAAAAACAATCTGGGCAAAAACCTTAACATAATACTTCTTCAAACGTTACTCTTAATAGCTACAGAACAAACTAGCTGAACCCAGAATTTTTGGGCTCTCACAGTTAACCTGTGTCAATAAAACACAGGACTGTTTACAAACGTATGGAATGCCTATCCATAGTTAAGGGCAGTTCATTTATCTTTTGGCTTTTTCCGGTCAGAATCATCGCTGAAGCTCTACAGCTTTTTGAAGAACCTTGTGGATATCCATTTCTGGAAAGTTCTAACGTATAATGGAAAATACGCACATTTTAAATGTTATTTTTTAATACCAAAGATCTCTTAAAATACATCTAAAGTCTTTTGATTGACTCGTATTATTCTGGCAACTTTAATAACAAATCAGTAATTATTTTAAAATAAATACATTTCTTGTTTGCATATTTCATTGTAAAAACTAAAAAAGATTACTTACTTAGAAATGATCTAAAGTGACTTTGTATAAAAAAAATTAACACTTTGACCAAAGCGGTTTCATGCAGTAACTGAATTTCATGTTTAAAAAGTAACTTTTAAAAATTCCTTTAACAAAAACTATTATATAAATCTCCTAATTTATATCTACTAATAAATCTTTGATGTCTTGGTTTTGACAACGAGTTATAGTTCATTTGACATGCATTCAATCACTGTACGAAGGGGAAGGAAAACCTTAATTAAGTTAGGTTTAAAGTAAATTAGCCATTCACAGTAACAACTTTAAAAATCAAAGCACCTGTATGTATGTGTATTTCAAACACTAAACAGCTGGGAATCCCTAAAGTATATGACTAAAAAAAGACATCGTAAGTAGACTTCCTTATTCACCACCTACGAGACTGTGTAATTAAGTAATAACCTTGAAAACAATTTACCTGAAGAAGTTTCAAGTTTGTAGGGAAGTCCCCAGCTAACAGAAGATCTCTCAAAAGGCTAAAAAGAAGAGAAGATTATCGTATAAGAAGACGATAAATGGACACATTACACCATCATCCTCAGTTATCTATTATATTTCAAGATATTAACGGAAGAACCTGGGATTAGATTTTAACACTGTCTACAAATTAGTTTGCCTTTAGATGGCACCACCAAGACACAAAATGGAGACAAGATGAAATCAAGACCACTGCATTATTTTATCCAATAACAATTTAAGTTATGAAATGATCTTGAAGGAATTTCTAAAAATAAAAAACACCTAGAACTACGTCACACAAAAAAACCTTTCAACCTGTGTTACAAATGTTTACTTGTATGTTCTAAATTATTACAGAAAGGTCTTGTAAATGAAAAAGACAAATGTGCTATACAATCAGTCACAACTATACACCTGTTACCTATACTCTTTCAAGTTCATTACAATCTGTATTTATGGCGAAGCTACTAAGGCTACTAACCAGAGGGAAGGCAGTCAGCAGTACACTACTACCAACACTAAAGGATTGACTGTCATTCTTATAATGCACCTACAGATTACAGTGGAAGATATTTTGTGGCATTACACAGATTCAATCTTGGGTCACCCGCTCCGAAATCCGGAGCTCTATCACGCGGCCAATCGGAACCCTAAGCTCAATGTTAATCTTATATTTCTCTTTAAACAAACACACAAAAATGTGAAGAAGGTTTTAAAAGAGTTAAAATTGAAAACATACAGCCTAGTCTTACGATCGTACTTCATGATTATCTATACTTTCATAACACCAGTAATGATGAGAGACACCTGTTAAAATAGTTTCATATTTACTTTTTCAAGTATAGAAAAGTATTTACTAAAACTAACAAACATCAGAACTATTTAATAACTCAGTTTATACGTAAAGGTTTAAGTCAGGTTTAAAAAATGTTAAAAAGATTTAATGTAGTAATTTTGTTATTTTGAAAATTCATAAAAAAACTAAAATTTAAGGATTCGGAACCATTTTCTAAATCATATCACACATATGGCTTTAGAAATGTTTATAATCCTACAAAATTTACCTGGATTCAACTAGGAAAAAAAAATTAGTTAAAACATTCTGCGGCAAAACTAAGTTGTTTTTAACATAAATCACAATAAAGTTGTACAAAAACAATCACTCACATCATCATGGCACAACAAACATGTATTAGGAAAGAAAAACGTGAAGAGTCAGCCAAAAGGGAATCCCATATTCGTATCACATCTGAAAGTAAAAAAATTAGGCTTAGTAGAATGGCTGATCCCCTAACCATTAGTTTTGGTCTGTTTGTAAATATTGTGTGTGTATTTTGTGGTTTTGTTTTGTAGAAAAACAAATTGCAACTTTTTGAATTGGTGGCTTTGACTTTTCAACCCCCAAGTTAACAGGGTTCTTCCCTGGACCCAAGAGAAGTGACCTACGAAGTTTGATTAACATTTGATGTTTAGAATTAGTTACCAAGAATTAAATGTATGAATGATATTATCACTGTATTGCTTCAAACCTTTCCAGTGTGGGGGATAAAAAACCATATGATACAAAATAAATTTTACGAAATCCAAGGAACGTCTTTCACCTACTGAGATATATATAATAATTTAACAACTTCTTTGATAAACAAACACTTAAAACATCAATAAATATTTCACATTTTAAAAAATGGCTGTCAACTTCAGTTCATAAATAGAACCAATGTTGTATCTTTCTTACTTTTAGACTCAAAAGAAGCTATGCTTAGAAAGGAGGTGGAAAAACATCCAGGTTAAAGGCAAATGTATTATTCATCAGTGAACAAAGTTATGAACATTTGGCCAAAAGTTGATTTTGTTTACTTCAGAGAAAAGCTTTCTTTTTTTAATATTGCAAAAAAAAAATTCTGTCTATAGATATATATATACATATTTTGAGAATGACAATAAAACAAGATAGTTAATGAAGAATTAAAGTTGAGTCTTTTCCAAAATGTTTCTTAAACTCTGCAAAAATTATAAACTGAGAAAAAAAACCTTCACGGTTTTTGTAATAAATCAAACTTAATCTACTGCACAAGATTAGCCCATACGTTTACGTATGCTAGACGTCATCTCCACCCTTACATTTACACCAATTACGGTAATGTAAAAAACCCTTCTATGGACGATAAAGGGTTAACAGAGGCACACTGTAGTAAAGTGTAGTCATTAAACATTCTCCTTATTGGAAAACCATACTGAGAAAGAGAAGACTGATGTGATTAAAAGACCAGCTTTTTCTGAGATTTTATATTACACCTATTATATATATGTATATATGTGTGTGTGTGTTAGTTGCTAATTAATAATTAGACTGATGTTAATATATAGGTAACCACGAGAATGATTAATATCTGATTCCCACAACCTTGTCATGAGCATTTAACTAAAATTGTATCGTACATTTTTCTTACTTGTACATAATGTCACACCTGTTACTTTTAATATGATCAGCAAGTAGCTCTTGGAGGTCAGAGTATAAAGTTCTTTATAACTAAACAAAAAATTCTACGTAGAACATAACAAGCTAGATGTGGTCTTTGTACTACAAACGTGTAATGTTTTTATTTCCCAGAACATGCTGAGGCGGACACCTTCTTTTGTTTTACAAATCTGATGGCCGAAATCAGAGATTTTTTCATCAAGACTCTCGATGAATCTGAAAGTGGAATTGGTTCTATGATGACGAAGCTTTTTGAAATGTTACACCGACACGACTACACCTTATGGTTGAAATTGAACCAGCAGGAAATAAAACCGCAGTATTTCAGCTTTCGTTGGATAACACTACTTTTATCCCAGGAATTTCCTTTGCCCGGTAAATTTAAATGTAGAATTTTTTGTGGTCTGGACTAAAATACGTACTACAAACGTGTAATGTTTTTATTTAAAGACCACATCTAGCTTGTCATGTTCTAAAAACTTATTATATCTTTCTTCGCAAGCATGAAATTATTTGTTTGTAAATTGTAATACTAAAGTGAAATTATCTGTTACACGCTTAAAAATATTCCCTTTCTCGATAAAAGTTAAACTATTTGTTATTACATCGTTACTCAATGTACTAATCTACACGTTTTTAATATTCTACAACAAAATAACCAACTTTACTTGGTGTTATTTGTTACACACGATTCATTATAAATAAACTGGTTCTTGCACTATATAAAAATAGACTGTTACAGTAATGATCGAATACCTGAAGGATTTTAAGCCCTAATAACAGATGAAAAATTACAGTTTATCTTGTTAATATTGTTAAAAACAATTTGATGAGATAAAAACTTACGTCTCCATTCTACATTTGGATCACACGCAAAACTGTAATATATTGGTCCTATGATTTCATTCATTCCCTAGTAACGAAAGAAAAGTTATACGTCAAACTTTTATCAATCATTCCCTGAAAAAATTTTTTTTTAAACTATAGGCTACCACAGATATGCATGTGTGCACTAGATCAACAGAATTAAAACCGAAACAATAAATATAAATGAGTAGGAATTAGATATTCTTTCTATAAGTATGATGTTTACTTACTTTCTTTAAATAAAAGAATAACATTGGTTTAAAATTTGTTTTACAAACCCCTAGTATGATTCAAATTCATTATGGAAATTCTTGTATTTCACGATAGTTTTTTCAGTGAATGATTGATAAAAGTTTGACGTATAACTTTTCTTTCGTTACTAGGGAATGAATAATTCTTGTATTTCACTGTAGGAAGGCAGATGTCAAGATTCAGTAATTCAGTTTTCCTTTGGCTAAAAACACATTTTTTTCAAAGTGATTAACGTCACATAGCCCTGCCTCAGGTTTAGGTAGCAATAGATAAAGTTTGTCGATTTAATTTTTCTTTGGCATTTTCTAAAGTAACCTTTTACCTGTACATAACTCTGGCCTGGGTTTAGCTTTGCATATATGAAAAGGATCCTTTCTACAACCTCCCAGTGAGCTTCTTCTCCAGGGGGTAATGGTTGGTATTCTTCGATTGCCCGTTTCCTTGATAACGTAATCTTTTTATTGATACCGCATGAAAAAAAACAACATTAAACTTGTGTATTTTTAATCATTAGATATTATTACTTAACAAGTTTTAATTATCACTAGAACCTTTTTATATGATACAAATATTACAATTTTTAGCACGCAAACCAGGTTGTGTATCATATATTTAACATTTCGTTGCAAAGAAACAAAAACCATGCATGTATTCGCACACACTTAGCTTTAATATAAATATATCAAATGATCCCCGTTTCATTAAAATTTAATTGTAATCTGTCTATCATATTCTTTTTCTTCTCTTTTTGTGTATCTAAGAAGAAAAAAATGTCCTACAGCTACAGAAATATTTAAACAGTTACATCTAAATCAGCATTACAAGTCAAACGAGACAAACACTGGATCCTGTAAAATTTCAATGATTTATAGGACGGTTTGAAAAGATTCTTACATTTGTTATTCCTAATCTATTTCGAGTTACATTAGCAGAATTTAGGACTGTTTGCTCCACTCGTTTTCGTAGCGTCTCCACGTGAGGATTCTCCACGACTAGTTTACACGGAAATTCAGTTGCCTGCTGAAAGAAAGATATGTCTGGGCACAATCGCCTGCCCAGATAATTCACTTTAATTTCTCTACAAATGTGACTTTATTAACTAATATATACAAACTTCTTATGGTGGAGCTACTGTGACTTATTATTTTAATGATAACAGATATAATGTTTGAGTAAAACAGTTCTGGTTTCCAACTAACCAAATGCTAACTGCAAATCACTTTGTAATATTTGTATTCATTAGAATTGTACACTTTTAAGTATTTATCTACAATTGAAAAGAAAAAAAAGATTTTTTAAAGCCAAACATTTTCATGAATAGGTCAAACTGCAGCGTACTTCAATAAACTGTGACAAAATAACCCACAAACAACAGTGAAGATCCAGCCCAAATATAGGTTTGTGTGACTATCAACTGAACTATATGACTGACCTTTGCGAATACCAATTAACTTGTATGAAATATTTGTGCAACCATCATTTACACCATATGACTGGGTTGGGTAACTACCAAAGTATGGTAGAGTACGGACAGAAGAAAATTAGTACAAGGGTATTGACAGAAGAGAATTAGTACGAGGGTATTGACAGAAGAGAACAAGTACGAGGGTATTGACAGAAGAGAACAAGTACGAGGGTATTGACAGAAGAGAACAAGTACGAGGGTATTGACAGAAGAGAACAAGTACGAGGGTATTGACAGAAGAGAACAAGTACGAGGGTATTGACAGAAGAGAACA